TCATTTTGAAATCTACTCGGATACTAAGAGCAGGGCCATAACAAATGGTTACCCAGACTGTACACTGCACACCTCCAGGGGGTGCCAGTCACATAGACTCTGATGAGAAAGACATCCCTAGTGTGCAGTGCACAACCTGTACACCCCTGCATGCTCTATCAGTTAACAATATCTACTAGCATCTACCATGGTGAGGCACTGTTCTAGCAATGGGGATACACCAATGAACAGAACAGACGAAATCCCTATCCACCAGGAGCCTGCATTCTAGTCGGGTGGAGGAGGAAGACAGACAATTAATGAATACATAGTTTATTAAATGGTGATAAGTGCTAGGGAGAACAGTTACGCAAGGTGAGAAAGAAATGGGGTCATAGCAATGAGGGGATTACTCTTTGAAATAAGGCTGGCAGAACGGTTTCACTAATACTTGGCAATTTTGAGCAGGAACCTGAGGACAGGAGGAAACAAGCTGTTCCTATGACTAAGGCAGGAGTACCGCAGACAGAGCAGAGAGCCTGCCCAAAGGCAGGAGCCTGGTTGGTATATTCAGGGGACGGCAAGAAGGGGTGTGGCTGGAGTGGGCTGAATGAAGGAGTGCCAGTCGAGAAATGAAATCAGAGTGGTTGGGGGTAGGAACTAGATCTCACAGGATCTAGACAGCCTTTATGAGGATTAGTCTTCACTCTGAGTGAGATGCCAAGTCGCTGGAAGGTCCTGAGTAGAGGAGTGGCATCATCTGATTAGACATTAAAAGGATCACTCTGTCTTTGAGCTAATTGTTTATAATGAAGGGTTATCTAAGGTCTAAACTATTTTCTCTAATCCTCTAGGAGTGTTTTTACTAAAATTAGCAATATAATTTTTTAAATTGTTTCCTTTTTCAAGCTGAGTTAGAATTCAAATGTTTAAGCAAATACATTAACTACTTGATGAAAGCAGTAAAAACTGAAACCTTTAGGCTTAATAAGCATTGAAGTTCATTCATTTATTCCTCGTGGATGGACTCAATTTGCAAAACAGTCCAGATATAATCCCTACCCATTACAGGAAAAAAGAACCCGAAAAGAAAAATCTCAAACATCTCAACTGTGAGGGAAGCTGTTTCATGGATTATAGTGATGTCAGAGACGGAGTCAGTTTGGTCAAGGTCTTAGCTACCAGGAAGTTGGTTGCTCATGAAACAATCTACATTTTGTCAAGTTAGCCTAACTTTTGGAACGCAACGTTCTAGAATGTAATCTTGCCTTCCTGAAAAAATTTCAACAATGTTCATTGTTCATAATAATACTGTAACTTAAAAAAAAAATCACAAATGCTTGCATGCCCTGTGATGTCACACACAATGCGAAGCAAGGCAACAGTTGCAAATAATGGACAAATGTCACCATAAGAACTCCGCTCTATTTTCTGAAATATCTTTTATAAAAGTGTTTACATACGCACAACTCTCTTTTCAAAGACTTCAGCAACTTTCTTTCCAAACAACCACAATTTGTTTACCATGATGTATACAAACAACTTATAACCCCCAAAACGGGATACCTTCGACCCATGATGACTTGTCTGTATACTGATAGGTCAACAGATGGCTTTCACAGTTACAAATACAAATAAATACCCCAAAGTGTTTTCAGAAACTATCTTATAACAAACAACAACAACAGTGATGTCTGCCCCAAACCTGATTTCTCCTAATTTCATGACTAATTTGCATGACTGTGGTATTACCACCCACACGGTGGATTCCGAAGAGTTGGATACATCTTGCCTTTAAGTCCAGTCATCAAAATCAATGGATCAGTTGTGCTAATTGACTTTATTATGAAAGGAAAGAACTCATATGGGCAGTCCCTAACATACCTGGCCCTCTGCTAGGCATCTGGCATATCTCAGGCCATTCAGTCCTTTCAGTAACCTTATGAAGCAAGTATATTATATCAATTGTACCTAAGAGGTACCTGAGGTTCAGGGAGGTGAAATAACTTGTTCTCAGGATTCATTCAAACCCAGGTCTGCCTGACTTCAAAGCCCTTGCCCCTTTTCTCTATCAGGGTATGCTAGTTCCACTGGGAACACTATCTTTTTTTATGTAACGTGAAATAAAATAAACATCCTCGTTACTATCATTGTCAATATTTTTCTTTTTAGCTAATATTCTTGAGTACATTTTGTGGCCAGGTCTGATTGTAAGGGCTTTGCAGTTATTGCTTGTATCCTGACCACAATCTTGCAAGGCGAATGTTCCAGCATGGGGCTGGGCACTGGGCATGCCTTAGCCAATTTCACTGGCGAACATCGCTGACGTGAGAATAAAGCTGAGAAGCGATAAATAACTCATCCAGGGCTAGGGAGTTGTTGAACAGGTTTTTAGACTTAGGTCCCTTTTACTCCAGTGCCTGTAGGCTTTTTTCACTTTCTTTTGAGCTGGATGATTTTTAAGACAGACAACATCATACTCAAATTAAATAACCTGAACTTTTACAATCCTAAAAGTGAACTGATAGCTTGAGGCACTAAGTAACTATGCTTAAACATTTGAAAACTGTTCTTTCAGGCCCTTCTTAAAGAGGTTTTTGAGTTTTCTTTTCAATTTGGTGTTAAATATTCTCATGGCTTGGTTCATGTTTTTACACTAAACATAATTATTCTTGATTCTTTCTCTGTGGACCAGAAGCATTAACCAACTGTGGTGCTGGCAAACCCACAGTGATGTGACGGACTGTAACGATCTGGAAGCTGATGTCCTGTTGATAACAAAGAAATACTTATCTTTTATAGGCCAAGAATATTTACTCCATATTTTTCTAACTACTTTCAAGAATATAAAGTTTCAAGGGGCTAAAATGGTGACATTTAATATGAAACATCCAACCAGAGAAGGTTTGAATTAATAAAAAGAAGGAAGAGCGGATGACCTGGGCAATGAATTTCTCATCTTTGACCTGTTGCCATTATCTTAAAGCATTTACATACTAATTTTTAATTTACATTTTGCTTTTTTAAGGGAATGTTTCCATTGGTGATAATCATAAAGATAAATACATACTTACTTTACTTTTTTGGACTAAAATCAAAATAATAAATTTTAGAATATGTTTATACCATTATTTAAAAAAAAAAAATCAAACCAGTTGCTGTTGAGTCGACCCTGACTCATGACAGCCCTATGTGCGTCAGAGTGCAATTACACTCCACGGTGTTTTCAACGGCTGATTTTTTGGAAGTAGCTCACCAGGTCGTTCTTCTGAGATGACTGTGGATGGACTCAAACCACCAAATCTTTCTGTTAGCAGCTGAGTGCACTAACCTGATGCATCCCTTAGGGACTCCTTATACCATTATAGTTTATATGAATTTTGATTTATCTGTTCACTTCTATTTTAGGCAAAGTGCTTTGTAATTTTAAAGTCTAGATAATAAATTTTTAGGACAAAAAGGGAATAAAATGACATAGTTATTGATGTAGATTACATATCTAATCTTCTTATTTTTCAAATTTTAACCTTTAAAAGACTTCTGTTGGGTTATAAACATGTTCTTTGACTTCTAATGTGTAGACAACTTTTCCCTTTACATATACTTAAATAAAAGATTTAAAGTCTTATATTTATGAGTTAAATCTTTGACTTGCAATTCTTATGGAGCCCTGGTGGCAAAGTGGTTAAGATCTACGGCTGCTAACCAAAAGGTTGGCAGTTTGAATCCACCAGCTGCTCCTTAGAAACCCTATAGGGCAGTTCTACTCTGTCCTATAGGGTCTCTATGAGTCAGAATGGACTTGACAGCAACAGAGTTTTTTTAATAATTCTTATAAGACATATTTTGTCTTACAAGATGAACTTTTCCCCAAAGACATACCCATTCCCTTCAAAATCCAAGAACAGGCTAAGGTCACTATCATGTGAACTCACAACACTATGTTTTCCCAAATCATACACCAACAGTACAGATCAACATTTTTTTTTTTTTTTGGGTAAACTTGTTTAAATGAAGTCTTACAAAGATTTAAACATTAAACTCTTTTTAGCTATGTATTTTACTTATCTCTATTAAAAACAATGTCATCATGACCTAAGGACTGTTCTAGATAATCTGGGATTTATAGCACTATAATTTTTGGGTTAAATAAGCCTCCCAGAATTGTGGGCTAAATTGTCCCGCTTCCTTCAACCAGATCTTTCATTATGATTCCCCCACCTCTTCAAGTCCGAACTGTACCCAACTTTAGTATCCACCTCTGGTGCCAAGAACGCTGAAAACACTCCTTGAAACCGTCAGCTGGAAGCCAGCTCTCTCGTACGTGGACTCCCATAGAAGTCTTCTCTCGATTCCTCCCTGAAGGAAGGCACTTGTCTCTTTCTATCTTGTACTACAGTATTAGCTCGTGCTGTATTTTCTCTACCAGACATAAGCTCATCAAGGGCGCAATCTGAATCACATTAGTTTCTGGTACGTAATTTACACATAGTAGGCTTTCAAGGAGTACTGAGTATATGTTCAACAATTTCTGTTAGCCATGACAAATTTTCAGAGAAAACGAAAAACTTATTCAGAAATAGTTTAGGCAACTCTTGCTCAAGAAAGAAAACCACAGAATAAATAATGCTTCAAGAGGTGAGTCAGGGTAAGCGGCACATAAAAGTAACAGATTCAATTTCTTCACCTTTATATAACCTCCAGAAGATCAAACATTCATAAAATATTTATCTTCTGTTGTCACAAGGCAGACTTTGATTTAAACTCTTGGGTACACGAATGTCATGCCAGACCAGAAATACACCATCATGTATTTTTAATTTAAACATGGACGTGTAAAGAATTTATAAATGCCTGATACATTAAAAAAAATTTGAGTGAAAATCTCCCAATAGTTACTACAAACAGGAAAACAGAATCTAAAAGCTACTGTTAAACTTCCGTAAGAAGTACAATGAAAAACATTCTGTTTGAAAGTCCCATGTGGCATTGAAATGACATGTTAAGATACATTCTCTTACCTTCAGGGAATCAAAGCAGGCAATTACTCTTCCGTTTTCAACCTGGCAACTTTTTGGGGGGTGAGCAAATTTGCACTCCTCATCAGAGCGTGAGCACGTTCCTCTTTGAAACTGTCTGCATACTTCTAACGTCAGCCATTTTGTATCTCTGACGGGGGCAACGTTCAAAGCCATGGTGAAAAAGTTAATCGAATTTTGTTAGTTTCTGTTAAATGATGATATCAACCCAACTTCCAATAATTCCAAAACTACTGTTGTGAACAATCCCACATGTAAGTCTTAAGGTAAGCGATAAATTGCTTAATGAAGTCCAATCCAGAAAGCCGAGTGAGAAGAGAATTTATTGACGGGTGTCACTCGTCAATCAATATGTCCCACTTGAAGACAGGGGGCCACAATAAAAGCACATTCAGTGTCATCTCTGGCTGTAAGCGTCCGTGTCTCTTGACTGTTTTGCAGACACAACTGGTTTTAATAAAGTGACTTCAATATGGCACTCACTCCTTTGGAGAATATTTAGTTCTGAGGCTTACAGCTATTGACAATGCTAGAGTATAAGCCACTCAGATGTTCATATTTTAGCAGGATTTTTTTTTCCTTCTACACTTTTCAATTTTGAATCAAGCAATTGGCAAAGTCAAACAAGTGAGGTATCTTCGTCCACTCGTAAGGGTCAGGATACTGTGTGTTGACAGAAAAACAAGATTTGAACCCACAAAGAGCCACCAGGCTGCAGTTTCTGGTACAAGTGACTTTACACAGGCACGTTTAAATCATAAACCTGCAAAACACAAATAAAATATCAGTTTATACCCAAACTCAATAGAATCAACACATTAACAATTATTGAGTCCTTACCTAGAATTTGCAAAAGTGCAGTTTAGTTCTTGGAGTATAGTGAGAAAAGACAGGCATTAAAAAAGAAAAAAAACCCACGGGAATATGCAACAGAAACTGTATTGCAGAAATAATCTAGGCAGCAGTCCCAAAGTGAGGGTGACTCAAACAGATGAGTGGGGTAGACACAATAATTAGGCATTCTGAAACAATTCAATCTAATGTGCTTAATCACCAAAACAATGTATCAGAACTGTGGTTTCCAATTAATTTCACATTTAGGCCATTGATTTTGTTGGAAGTAGTATAAACAATTATTTGAGATGTGTCTCTCCTATATAATAAAGATATTGTCATTTTTGGATGAAATGTGAGCTCCATATTCTTTACTCTTTTCTAGTTTACTTGGACTTGGAGAGGGCTAGGTAGGAGCCCCTGAAATGTATTCTCAGATCTCTTAATGCTGCCTCTCTACTGTTATTTGACACAGTGGCTGCAACAATGGGCTCACACGTAGCAGTGATTTAGGATGGTGCAGGACTCGGCAGTGTTTTGTTCTGTCGTGCGTGCACAGGGTCGCTATGAGTTGGAACTGATTTGACCGCACCTAACAACCCTGTTATTACCAGAGGAGCACTGGCGCAGTGGTTAAAGCGCTCAGCTGCGAACTGAAACGTCAGTGGTGCAAACCCACCAGACACTCCAAGGGGAAATATGTGACAGTCTGCTCCCATAAAGATTTAACCTTGGAAACCCTAGGGGGCAGTTCTACTCTGTCCTATAGGGTTACTATGAGTTGGAATCCACTCCATGGCAGTGGGTTTGGTTTTTTGGTTTGACTGTTATTATTTGCTTAAAGTTAGTTTTCTCCTATAAGACTGTGAGCATATAAGGATTCTTTGTATTTTTCACTTCTTTATCCCTAGTGCCGTAGTTTATGGCATCAACCAGGGCCTCAAAAAACATGCATTGAATAAATGAGTCATTCATCTATTTAACTGATGACTGACTAAATGAATGAATGCAAGCTAGCATTAGTTTAGTTTAGTTTTTAACTGGGTCACACAATCTAAAAATTCTCTGTTCTGTGGAATGCTGGAGGTAAGTCACTTGTCTACAACAAAAATATAACTAGTGAATTCAGATTGTTGACATAAAACACATGTATCTTCACGTGATCGCCATGAGTCGGAATCAACTCCACAGCGACTAACAAAAACAACAAGTTTCTTTTCATTTTTTCCAGGATTATGAAATTATTAGAACATTAACATTTATCATTACCGAATCAAGCGTCACTAAAGCACAAAATACCAGCAGTTTATCATTTTCATAAATTGTATATGCCACAAGCTACCTTCGATACTTGTTTAGCTTTGATGTCCTAAAAAAAATTAAAAACGGAAGAAAAGGACTACTAGAGGTAGATGATTTAAAACCAACATGTATCAAGTATGTTCAGGGTGCAACAATTCTTAAGCACAAGTGAAAAAGTGGATCCCACAATCCATTAAGTTCAGTTCACTCCGAGTTCCCAAACTCACTGCTGTCAAGTCAATGAGTCTCATTCGTAGAGACCCTCTAGGCAGACTGGAACTGCCCCATAGGGTTTCCTACGCTGTGATCTTTATGGAAGCAGACTGCCACCTCTTTCTCCTGCAGAATGGCTGGTGGGTTTGAATCTCCAACCTTCCAGTTAGCAGAAGAGCACTTATCCACTGTGCCACCAGGGCTCCGTAACTCCCGGTTAAACTAGGTCAAACAGGCGTTTTCAATAGGGCTTTTGTCAGCCTTGAATGCACAGTGGTGCCTGGTGAGTCTCTAAGAGGGGCAGGGCTGCCATAGCGTCTCTCAAGCTTATCTGATCATGGAACACTTATTTAGCAGGACATCTCTTGGGACTGGTGGGAAATGCTACTTCATCCCAATAATTCTTGTGCTTGTTTGTAAAAGTGTTTGTACGGGTTGTAACTGTGTGCATTTCAGGGAATTGGCAGGCTTGAGAGCCAGGACACATACATAAGTTCAATTATACACCGTTTGAGGCAGGCAGGCAGGCTCCTACTTGCATCTTTGGCAGCGTTGGGCTCACAGCAGCTAAAATCAACTGGCTTAAGTTAAGGCGTTTAAGAAAATGAGTTTAATAACCAAATTTACTCTGGGTCAGGTTTCATAGACCAGCCTGGACCTGCAGCCTCATTACCTCAACCCCCACCTCGAAGCCAGTGAGAACAAAGGGTGAGGGAAGCAAGGGACAAGGCAACATTTCTATCCACTTATTCAGCCGACGAGGCACTAATAACAAGGAGATTTAAATTATGGGTGGAACACATTTAGTTCACATGTGCAAATGATTTTATAGAGCTCCTGACTCCTGACTGGCCTGAGCTAGGCTACAGGATAACAAAGATGAGGGAGATGTCCATTGTCAAAGGCAGTACAGTCTCTCTCAAGACTTCATGTGCAGGAAAAGAAAAAGGAAATATGGATTTACGCGTAGATAACATATGAATAATTACTCAAGTATCCCTAAAAACCATGTAGAAGCCATGCTTGCAATCCAGTCCAGTGAATGGCGCATGCTTTTGCTTATAACTTTAGATTAAAAGAGTTTTTGTTTTGTTTTTCTCCCCTAGAAGCCCTGGTAGCTCAGTGATTACACGCTCGGCTGATAACTAAAAGGTCAGCAGTTCTAACCCACCAGTCGCTCTGTGGGAGAAAGATATGGCAGCCTGCTTCTACAAAGAGTACAGCCTTGGAAACCCTAGGAGGCAGTTCTACTCTGTCCTGCAGGGTCACTATAGAACCGCTATGAGTTAGAATCAACTCAACAGCAACGGGTGAAAATCCAACCAGAATTTAGATGTTCAGACACCACAAAAAAAAAAAACAAACTTGCTCTTAAAATTAGGAGTGACCACGCTTTCCGACTGCAGAGTCACAGATGAGTCAAAATGATCCAGAATGAAAGGAGTGTGCAAACTTTATAAACACCCTGCTGTCGTCTTGTCAGATGCCATCCATCGAGTCAGCCCCCACCTCCTGGCGACCCTATGTACAATGGGACAAAAAAACGCTGCCCTGTCCTGGGCCACCCCCATGACCACTTTCGGACCGGACCGCTATGATCCATTGTGGGTTTTCACTGGCTGATTTTTCAGAAGTAGATCACCAGGCCTTTCTTCTTAGCCTATCTTAGTCTAGAAGCTCCGATCAAACCTGTTCAGCACCATTGCAGCATGCAAGCCTCCACTGACAGACGGGTGGTGGCTGCACTTGAGCTACACTGCAGATGCTGAACCCGGGTCTCCCCATGGAAAGTGAGACTTCCACCCGTGAACCACCACTGCTAATCCACTCTTTCTCCCAGTTTGTTTTCTGTTGCTAGTCTAAAAGTGGTCCAGCTACTGTTATCAGAGGCACTGTCTCCTTTGGGCAACTACAACCTCCACTTTCTGGAGTGGGTATGGAGAGGTGGCTGTTGGAACCAGGTAGAGAAAGGAGACTTGAACTACATTAGGCTGAGTCCACCAAAGGAGGCAAGCAATGGTGGGCAGCAGGAGAAGGTAAGGATGGAGAAGACCAATGTTCAACATGGCTGAAATATGCTGCATACAGACCTAGTCAGTCATATTAGATCTACAGGGCCGCAAGCACCTGGGAGCTGGGGTGTTAGGACTGCATTGTTCAATACAGGAGCCACCAGCCCCGTGTGCCTACTGAACATTCGGAATGTGGCTAGTGCCACTAACTAAAGTTAAAATTTTTAATTAATTTAAATTTAACTTAAAAACAAATCCTTGATTCAGTTATTGGAAAGCTTTTAAGTATGATTGGACCACCCTGAATACACAATTCTTCTTTATCACTTCTATATTTTTATGAAATCTAAATACAGATCAAGTACTGCCAATGAAAATTTTGCATCCAAACTGAGACATGCTGTAAGTGTGAAATACACACTGATTTCAAAGACTTAGGATGGAAAAAAGGAATTAAAAGTTCCTCCTTAGTATTATTTCATACTGGTTATACGTTGAATTGATAATATTTTGAATAGATGTTATTAGATATTATTATTAAAATTAATTGTGCCTGCTTCTTTTTGCCACTAGAAAATTAAAAACTATATATTGGTGAAGGGAAAGACAGCACACAATATAAGGGAAGTCAGCACAACTTGACCAGGGCAAAGCCATAGAAGCTTCCTAGACATACCCAAACACCTTCGGGGACCAAGTGGATGGGGCGGAGGGCTGGGAACCATGGTCTCGGGGGACATCTAGGTCAATTGGCACGACATAGTTCATAAAGAAAATGTTCTACATCCTACTTCGGTGAGTACCATCTGGGATCTTAAAAGTTCACAAGTGGCCATCTAAGATGCATCTATTGGTCCCATCATGCCTGGAGCAAAGGAGAATGAAAAAAACCAAAGACCCAAGGAAAATATTAGACCAGAGGACTGACAGACCACATGAACTACAGCCTCTACCAGCCTGAGGCCAGAAGAACTAGATGGTGCCCGGCTACTACCACCACTGACCGTTCTGATAGGGATCACAATAGATCGTCCCGGATAGAGCGGGAGAAAGATGGAGAACAAAATTCAAATTCACACACAAAAAAAGACCAGACTTACTGGTCTGACAGAGACTGGAGGAACCCCCGAGACAATGGCCCCCAGATACCCTTCTAACTCAGAACTGAAGCCACTCCCAAAGTCCACCTTTCAGCCAAAGATTAGACAGGTCTACAAAACAAACAATAACACACGTGAGAAATGTGCTTCTTAGTTCAATCAATAAATGAGCAACACCTGCCCAAAAGCAAAGATGAGAAGGCAGGAAGGGACAGAGAAAACTGGACAAACGGACACGGGGAACACGGAGTGGAAAGGGGGAGCACGCTGACACATTTCAGGGATTGCAACTAATGTCACAA